CCAATGGACTAAGAAACTTGAATTTATTAATTATAGAAGCATAACTACAATTGTTAGAAGGACAAGCTGACAAGGAATCTTTTAATAATCAATCAGGATAAAGTAAAGTCTAGAAGAGAAAGGGGCGCACTTGAACTACTAATACGCAGAAATCTATAAGAATGAATGATAAAACCTTATGCATTTCTCGTTATTCGGAAACTTCTAGCTCTTTTTCTGCAAAGATCCTATAATTTCTCTCTCGGTAAACCATTCTAGATCAACAAAAAAATAGCACCGTTTGGGCCACCTTTTTATCTCATTAAAATGAAAAATATGACCGTTATTCATCACATCAACATTTAAATTCAAATTTTCCATCTCTTGTGTAAACCCCAATAACGACTATATTTTTCATTCTCATTCTACAAAAAGGTGACTCAAACAGGGCCTGAAGTTATATTTTTTTTTATTAAATGTTTCTAAAATTTTTTGTGTCCTAATTTTTTTCTTCAGAAATAACATTTCCATGCATTGTGTTTTTCGTTTTCATACAACTTAAGTTCGTGTCTATGAAACATATTAAGGAGTCAACTCTCTAATATAGCTTTAATTGTTAAAAGAAATGGTTAGATGTATATTACACGGGCCTGTAATTAGTAATGCTTAAAGATTTCGATATGAGTTTGTGAGTGAGTTACCCTAATCCTGAAGATGAATTCTTAACAAAATCGCGGTTAATCGAAAAAACAATGCCACGAACTAACATAAAAATATAAAACAAGAAGCCAAGATTTATAGTAAGTACTTATTTTATTATGCTAAAAACATAAGAAAAAAATTATATGAACATTTTATTTATCACCCTATTTCTGGTTAGAAATCTCAGCTAAGGATATCATACCTCACATATATGTTCCTATATATAAAAGAAAAAGCAATCTCGCCATCAACGTTTGCTTTATTCAAATAAGAGTTACGGTGGAAACTAATTCCGTCCGGACAATAAAGATACTACACTAATCTTCCTGGGGGATCCATCTTATCGGTGCAATTCCTATTTCATGCCCCACTCTTGCAAAGAAACAACTTAGATTACTATTGCTATTAGCACTGGAAAGGGTCTGAGCGGAGCTAAGCAAGTAAGTGAGAGGTTTACTGGCAGTAGAGGACAGACGAGAAAATAAGTGTTGTTCTTACTCTTTCTCCTTTCAGGATTGGAATGGTATAAAAAAGTAGTTAGATTAATCATTAAATCACTACAACAAAAGTAGGTTTTTATGGCATTCGTTTACGGCGTGCATTTTGGGAATGCCGTAAAAAGTCTGTTTTAACGGCGTGCCTAAAATGCACGCCGTAATAAATCGATTATTTAAAGTATTTACGGCGTGCATTTGTGGCACGCCGTAAAAGGTATACTTTAACAGCGTAATTTTCATACATGCTGTAAATAGTTTTTTATTGTTTTTATTTTTTTAACAAATATATTTACTGCGTGCAATTTGCACGCCGTAAAAACTTGCACAATTTTCTCCTTTTTATTGCCCGCCGTAAAAACTCGCTCAGTTTTCTCCTTGTAAAATGAGGCAACAGTAAAGGCTCTCTCTCATTCTCTCCCGTCCCGTCAAATACCAGCACTGAAGTCCTAACCCGTCACCAACTCTTTCTGATCAAATCCTTCCCTCTCTCTCACGCTCTCCCGTTCTCCCCTCACTTCGCCACCGCTGATCTGTTGATTGCCACAATGGTCACTAATCGCTTGTGCCTGTAAGTTCTTCAATCTTCTTCAATAATTTGTGTTTTTTTCTTTTTCTTCAAGAAGGCATCTTGTAGAGGGTATTGTAAGCTAGCATGCTTATATCATGTTTGATGAAATGCCTATATGAGTTTTGTGGATTGCGTGTGTGTCTCTGCAGGTGAGGTTTGTTCAAAAACTAATTTGGATTAAACCGAACGGTGTGAGCGTGATAATCGTTGGGAGAAGAGGTTAGTTGGCTTTCTTTTCACGGGCATGTGCTATTATGTTTTCCGGCCTCAAATAGTGTTGTTTGAGGACTCAATTACAGAGCAATCTTTCAGATTAGGTGGTTGGGGTGCTGCTCTTGCTGATACTTACTCTCGCAAGGTTTCATTTTTCATTTAATTAAGCCAGCATGCTTATATCATGTTTGATGAAATGCCTATATGAGTTTTGTGGATTGGGTGTGTGTCTCTGCAGGTGAGGTTTGTTCAAAAACTAATTTGGATTAAACCGAACGGTGTGAGCGTGATAATCGTTGGGAGAAGAGGTTAGTTGGCTTTCTTTTCACGGGCATGTGCTATTATGTTTTCCGGCCTCAAATAGTGTTGTTTGAGGACTCAATTACAGAGCAATCTTTCAGATTAGGTGGTTGGGGTGCTGCTCTTGCTGATACTTACTCTCGCAAGGTTTCATTTTTCATTTAATTAAGCCAGCATGCTTATATCATGTTTGATGAAATGCCTATATGAGTTTTGTGGATTGGGTGTGTGTCTCTGCAGAAAAGGTTTGTTCAAAAACTAATTTGGATTAAACCGAACGGTGTGAACGTGTAATCATTAGGAGAAGAGGTTAGTTGGCCTTCTTTGCACGAATGTGCTATTATTTTTTCCGGCCTCAAATAATGTTGTTTGGGGACTCCATTACAGAGCAATCTTTCAGATTAGGTGGTTGGGGGTGCTGCTTTTACTGATACTTATTCTGGCAAGGTTTCATTTTTCACTTTAATTAATTTTTTTAACTATATATTTCAAATCAGTTGATTTTTATTCACTTTGATATACATAATTTTACCTGTTCGATCTTGTAGGCTTATGTTGTGGTACGTGGTTATGGTGGGTACAACACCAGGTGGGTTTTATTCTTGTTGAATCACCTTTACCCTATGGTAATTTGTCCATATCTTTATTTTTTAGCATTATTTTGATTCTAGTGTGTGAGAGGATATGGAATATAAGTTGAATTGGGAAATTGTACAATTTGATTAATTAATTATGGTGTGGATTGTAATTTTTAGGATAAAGAATGTCTAAATTGAAATATAGATGTTCTAACGTTGTAATGTAAAATAGAGATTTCCTTTGCTAGTGTTGTTCAATGTTAAACATTTGATTTGTGCGTTTGTTTGATATTTGGATCCCAGGATATCTATAGGCTGCTTGTTGAATTTTGCACAATGAAGTTAATTTTTTTCTGTATCATCTTTGTTTTGTTCCTTAGCGTTTTCGTTTTTACTTTCCTAATTCTATGCACCTCGGTGTACTGAGGGTGTAGTGATAAGTAAATACCTTTTAGAAACCTTACTTTTTGTTAATTTTTCTTTTAACCCCAGTTTAATGTTGGTTCAGTTTCTTATACTTCATTTCAATTTTTGATCTCAATGTGGGAATCTTTTCTGACTGATTGGCAGGGATCTGCAACTCCTCCTGTCGCTACCACTATTTTTTTGGGGCTAATGATGCGGCTCTTTTGGGGAGAACTGGTGAAAGGCAACATGTGCATATTGAAGAATACAAGGAAAATATTAGGAACAGAGCAAATTGTTACTAGACTTGTAAATTATGCTTTAGCAGTTTCTGGATACTTGATTTTCTTAGTAATTATTTAGATCAACTCTTCATTTTAGCATATTGTATTGGATTGAACTCAATATTTTTATTTATTGAAATTATGAAACAGATTACATGTGTTGATATATTAATTTTGTTATTGAATTATTACAAGTTTGTTGGTGATTAAATAAATAAAGGTTTTTAAAAAAATGAAATTGACATTTACGGTGTGCAAGTGCACGCCGTAAAAAGCTAAACAAGTTAAACATATCTTTTATGGCGTGCACCCGCACGCCGTAAAAAGGTAGACATCATCTTTTACAGCATACGAGTGCACTCCGTAAAAGGAGATGGGGGTATTCACGGCGTGCATGCACACGCCGTAAAAAGTTAACATATCTTTTTCGGCGTGCACCCGCACATCGTAAAAAGCTAGACATCATCTTTTACGGCATACGAGTGCACGCCGTAAAAGAAGGTGGGTATTTACGGCGTCCTTTTACGGCATGCATTGCACGCTATAAAAAAAAAAGTGAGCTTTTACGGCATGGCCTAATACGGCGTGCACCCGTACGCCGTAAAGAACTATTTACGGCATGCATTGCACGTCGTAAAAAGCAACTTCTGTTGTATTGAATAGATAGTCTTTCGTGGGAACAATAATTCGAACTCTTAGGTCAACTTTATTAATTATTCAATTAATATCGTACACTTGTAAGTATCACACAGTACATTTTAAAAATTGCTTGATCATGTATACCCTTTTAGGTTTGTGCAATGTAGCCTGGACATAGTCAGATTTCTGGTGAGCATTATGAACACAGGATTAGTTTGTGAAAGCACCTGGACATTTTACTTGGCGGTAATGCAGGACGCAACCTCCATAGGAATAAGAAAGTTGCCATTATTAAATCGACTGTAGCTCAACATGGACGAGTCTCTTGTTTCTCAAGTTCTTGGAATCAAAATCACAAGAATTAGATTCATTTTCTGTTTGTTTACTGTTCTACGATGCCATAGACACTATAATTAAATTTCTTGGAATATTACAATTAGCTCCAACGGCTTGCAATGGGTTAGCTGCCAATAATTAATAGTTTGTTTGGAAATTAACTCCTTCCATGTCCTAAAAGGCTCTTGTAAAGTAAAAGTAGACCATGCGATCTCCGTGTCAAATTTATACATGTAGTTAGGTATGCTTTGTTAGGGCTTAGGATTTTATTTTAAAACGTCAACCTTATTATTTTCATCTTTATTCGATGTGGAATTTTATCTGAACAAATCAATTTTGAAATTTGCGTGCTAATTTTTTTGAATCGTAATTGGATCGAATTGCTAGCTGGAGTTTAATTGGTTTTAATAACATGTTAAAACTTGAGATTCCATCTTAAAATGTTAGCCTTATTGAAAGAAGTAACTCAAGCCCTTATAACTTGATTTATGTTTTCATCTTCATTCGATATGATATTTTATCCCTTAAAATGCTTTTGCAATTTGTCTCAGTTTTATAGTCTGAGAGTTGAGATTTGATTGGCTTATTAATTCAACTCTGGATCGATGCAAATTATATAGTGTTTGCTAAACACTTGATCAAATTATAGCTACCCAATTTTCTCTCATTCTGTAGTAAGTGACCTAACGAATTTTTACATTTTTCATTTTCCTTGTTTTGTCATATTAATTCTCGTGGCTGCACCTGGGAGTCCTATGCTATATATATACTTTTCTTTTGTTCGTTGCTACCCTTTCTCTACAAGAATGTCGAGTGAAGTTAGCATCTTCAGAGTTATTTACTATTCTTGGAGGCTCACCAGCTCTTTATTATTTATCATTTTGCTGACGTTGAGAGAAATTATCCTTTTAATACCATTCATTTCCATACGTCGTCAATGCATTGATGTAAGAAAAAACTTTGGCTCTGCTTCTCCACATTTACTGAAAAGAAAAAGAAATATATTTCAACTTCAGACATTTTTATCTCTTCTATTTACCCACTTAGTGTTTGCTTTGCTTCTGTCTGTGTTCATAAGCTACAACCCATAACAAATTATGTTCTATGGAAATTTTTCTCACATTGATTAAGTGCTTTTGGATAGTAATACAGCTTTCTGTTTTCTGCTGGGCTATTATACTAGATCAATAAACTTTCAGGGCCTTTTTTTGCAAGATTTGAAGTTTCATTTTAAAATGTCAACTTTGTTAAGAGTGGTAGCACATATCCTTATAAAATTGGTTTATGTTTCCATCTTTATTAAATGTGGCATTTTATCCCTTAACTTGTCCCTGCAAGATGAGTCTCATTTGAACAAACCAATCTTGAAATACATGTATTTATTTTTCAGTCAAGATTTGGGGTTCTATCTTAAAATATCAACATTGTTAAAAGGAGTAGTCCAAATCTTTACAGGTTGGTATATGTTTTCATCTTTATTGATGTGAAAATTTATCCCCAACATACTCCAGCAAGATGTTGGCTCGTTTGAGCAGACGTGCTCAATTTTTGTTAGTTTTAATCGGATCGAATTGCTCGTTGAAACTTAACGGGCTCTGATGCCAAGTTAAAACTTGGACTGACTTACTTGTTGGAATTTAACGAGTTCTGATATCAAGTTAAGACTTGAAGTTCAATCTTAAAATGTTAATATTATTAAGATGAGTAACCCAAATCCTTATAAGTTAGTCTATATTTTTCATCTTTATTTGATGTGGATTTTATTCCTCAATATGTCCCCACAATATGGTGACTTTGATTCCATGTCAACATTTGAGATTTTATCTTAAAATGTCAACCTTATTAAGGGGAGTAATCCAAACTCTGATAAATTTGTCTATATTTTTATCTTTATTAGATGTGAAATTTTATTCATTAACACTTGCTAATATATAGATATAACCTCATTTGTCCAACTGAAATGGTAAGAATTAAATGAACCCACGAGGTTTTCAATTTTTATGTTATACTTCTATGAGACTTGTTTACATAGTTCTATTCTACTTTTACTTATCCACTTTAATTCGATTTCGCTTACTTGCGAAGAAAATATGAATATTGTTTACACAGTTCCAATCCATGCTGCGGATGAGTTTGAAATACAATTTTGTAGTTAACTACGTCTATCTTTATTAATCATTACTAATACACCATCTTCAAAGTAAGAAAAAACTGACTAACGTTTTTAATATCATTGTGTTGACCTGTTTGGAAAAAAAAAATGACTGGACGGAATCCTAGCTCTATCAGGTCTCCATATGTAGTCCAATGTCCCCAACATCCATTGTATATATCAATATCCTCTCGACTAAAAAATTAAAAACATTATATAGGGTATGTGTAAATTACTCGAAATGCAGTTGTACAATGAAAAAAATTCTATTGCCCATGCATCTACATCAGTCCAACAGTAACTGCTCCAACCAAAGATTACTTATTTACAAATATATGTTACAGATTAGATGATTAATTTCATACACTATAACTGAGAAAAAGATACTGCAATATAAAGAAATAACTGTCAAGAGAGTTATAGGTGTTGTGCTGACAGTACATGTATTGTTGCCTTTTTTTTTTTTTGCTTATCTCCCAAAGAAAAAACGCCAAGTCATCCCTTAAATCCCTTGGCAGTTTTTTCTTGTACACTGTATCTTTTTTGTCTCTACGCAAAAAGACTTGCCCTAATGTCCTTTACACAGAAGAAATATTAGAATGAACTAATATATGTGCAAACTATCAAAAATCTTGTCAAGAAAACGAAGTAATTAATTGTATAATTAGCCTCCTCGCATCTAATAGGATGGATGAAGGAGAAGTGCCAACTCAGAAGATGAGGTATCGAATAATGTGTGACTAACAACATCTCTAAAAAGAGTTGAAAGAATCATCTTCTAAAAAAGTTATATAGCCTAATTGGGTTTTATGGTGAAATTAAAATTTTAATTAATTTGATTTTAAGGTATCAACTCAATATGAAAAAATAAATGAAATTTCAAGTCACATTAGTTCAAAAGCATATAATTTTCAAATTTGTGGCATTTTTTAGATTCTCAACAAGTATTTTCCTTAATAGTTGATTGTAAAATAGGTGTTAGGTTTTAATTGTTTTTGTAATTGGCAAATTATGTGAACAAAATGATTTAAATTGATAGAGTGTAAAAATTCAAGGAGTAATGTGCAATTTGTTTAAAAGTTAGTTAAATAGGTCTAAAGTTTCGAGTTTGGAACAAGGAGGAAAACGACACGAATTTTCCCTAAACTGTCGCCAAGAGTTGACTCAAGCTATAAAAACTGAAACTGCATCGCTAGATTATCGCTCCTCCTTCACTTGAGTGACAGTCTATCGCTCGACCGTCGCTCAGCCCTCGCTCGAGCTACAGCTTTATTCGGAAAAATTTTATTTCGCGTTTTAAAGGCTTTTTCCCTGACCCATTCGATTTTTGACTACATATAAATATCAAAACTCATTTGTACGAAAAATTCAAGGTTGAACATTGAGAGAAACATATCAGAGAATGATTCCTCCATATCATATTATTCAACATTCATCTTGTGTGAGTATTTTGATCAAAAAAACATCAGATTCAACATCCAAATATCAAACTATTACTTCCTACATATCTGCAAAGGTACTAAAGATCAAGGAAGACGACTGGAGTTCCAGCCTGTGAAGAACATGTTGTTCCTCATGATCCACAGGAGATAGGCGATTCTACCAAGCTAGGGGCTGTTGCAGGATAGCGGAGTTT